TTTTTGAGACAGGGTTTCTCTGTGTAGCTTTGCGCCTTTCCTGGAGCTCACTTGGTAGCCCAGGCTGGCCTCGAACTCACAGAGATCTGCCTGGTTCTGCCTCCCGAGTGCTGGGATTAAAGGCGTGCGCCACCGACACCTGGCCAGAGATACTCTTATAGGCAGATTTAGTTACTTACTCAGGAAGCCTCTGCTCTAGAGTATTGCAATGAAAAGGATCTCGACAGCTCCTACATCTCTGTGCTCATGGAAGTCTCATCTGTTCTTCTCTCTTGTCCTCAGCAGCCCAGGGTTAGTTGGTCTGGATTCCCACGTGCTCCTTGTGTCTCCATCTGTCTGTGCTAATCCAGGAGGCTGACTGTGAAGCCCTGGAGGAAATGGCTGTCTAGAGGAAGGAGCAGTCGAGAATAGGAAACCCAGCATTAAGTGTGGGATAAGTGGTGTGGATCCTGAAAGTTCTCTATTCGTTAGGTCATGTGTTGGACACAGTTTCCAAGTGGAGAAAATGAGAGAAGAAATCTGTTCTCTTAAAGGTACAGCTGTCAGGTGCTGATAGAGGAGGAGAAGAGTCCTGTCTTGAGTCCAGGTCCTGAATTTACTGTATTTTGTTTATTATTATTAGTGTTGTTATTACTATTGTTCTTGGGATTTGCTCTTGTTGTTGTTATTGGCTTTTGGTTGTTGTTTCTTTGTGAGACAAGGTGTCTCGTATCTCTGACTGTTCTCAAACTCACTGGGTGGCTAAAGATGACCTTGAACTTCTGGTCCTCCTTCCACCATCTCTCAAGTGCTAGAATTTAAATGTGAGCCACCATGTGTGAGTCGGAGATTTATTTTAAGTGCTGCCCTTCTATCCATGCCAAAGAACAGAGCACTTAGCTCCGTCTTTGACTGTTCTGTTATCCTTTTTTCTTCTTAGAGAAGAAAGGTGGTCATAGATGGGGAAATGGCTGGGGATACTTCCACGTTTAAAGACCTTTTAGTTTTGAACTTCTAAGACTCTCTTTGAGTTCTCTACCCAGCATAATGAGGAGATAGGTTAGTGCATGGTTGGGGACAGTTACTTTTAGATTATGAAGGGAAGTGAAGGAAATCAGGGACTCCTGTCTGCCCCTTGCAGTTTGTCACTTGCAGCCTCTTTCCTGGGTTTGTACTCTCCCAGCTCCAGGCAGAAGGCCTCCTCTGGTAGTTCTCTCCCATTGCACCAACTGAGCTACATGCTACGACTAAATACTCAACAAGAAGCAAATTAAGGGATGAAGGATTTGTTCGATTCATGATTTGAGCATGCAGTCTGTCAAGGTGGGCAAAGCATGGGAGTGGGAGCAACTTGTGGCTCTGGTGGCAAAAGAGGGAGAGTTCTCACTAAAACGCGTGCATCAGGAACCAAAACCAGGGAATGTGCCCCACTCTGTCTCATGTAGCTCAGGCTGGCTTTTAACTCAATGTAGCTGGGGCAGGCCTTGAATTCCTTGATGCTGGGATTACAGGCTGCACCATGACACTTGGCTTGGCTTTCTCCTTTGTAGTCAGTTTGGGACTTAGTCCATAAGACTGTGCTTCTCACATTTGGAGTGGGTCTTCTCTCCTCAGTTTAACTTCTCTGGCAACAGCCTCAAAGACACTGCCAGTGGTGTGTCTCCTCGGTGAGAGTAATAGAGGAAGATGCTGGCCTACCGTGGCATGTGCATGCATAGGACACATCCACATAAGCAAGCAATACACATACACATACCACACACACACCACATATACACAGACACACACA